TTAATGTTTGCATCTGACACAATAAATATAAAAAGTGAAATTATTTGTTTTTGGCCAGAAGCTTTCGCGGGCATACGTAAAAAGAACTCACTAAAGCTTCTTCAGAATCATGAGTGGTCGAGGATGGCATAGAAATCAAACATTTGTATTTAAGAGAGAGGAAGGAAAAAACCAGCCAAGTGCGCGTCGGAGTCTTCAACGAAGCGTTCCGTACCATTATTTATGAAAAGGGCAAAAAAAATGTGTGTTGTATGGAACGTTAAATATTTTTTTTTGTTTTTTGTATTTATTGTTAGACCGGTAACAGAAATACATCATCTGTGAAAATTTCAACTGTCTAACTATTACGCTTCATGAGATACAACCTGGTGAAAGACGGACAGACAGACAGGCAGCGGAGTTTTAGCTTACCCGGTCGAGGAAGGGGACTTAGATACGTCGGACCCACCGCCGGGGGTCCCGCCGGACAACACTACACCCACAGTTAGTGCAACAACAAACACACTAGTTCGCCCTCGCCTCCGAGCACGGCGAGACCAACACAACGCGTACACAAGGTACACCCGCGTTCCAGGGCGGTTCTCACCTCCCCCAGCCACCGATTAGCTAAAAACACAGTCGACGGCCATCGGGGTCTCGGTCCGCACCGCAACTTCGATGGACCTTAGATGACATTAGTTAAACGCACGCATGAGCACATGCGCGGCCCTACCCACAGCGGAGGGCACAAACCCGTGGGTTCTGGCTAGCCCACCGGTTCTGCGTCAGATGAAGCTTTAATAGTCTCGGGACTGAAAGCAAAAAAAAAAAAAAGTTTTAGCAGTATGGTCTCATTTTACCCTTTGGGTACGGAACCCTAAAAACGAGTAGAGGACGTTTTGAGCAGAAAATTTTCACTTGGAATAGTAAATAGTCTTGTCATTTTCATTGATTCAAGAAAGGTTGAGAAAAACAAAACAGCAGTAACTTTATCAGCCCCAGTGAGGTTTTAAATCATTTTTACTTTACTTTACTCTTTGAATTACCAAATAAATATACAAGAAAGCAATGTATATAGTATTTAGTTACTAAGCAACCAAGATCAAATATTTGAATCCTGAAGAAAAATATATCTTTACAAAGAATTTCTTTATACCACAGTAACTCGACCGTTCATAATAAACTTTGAAAGCTCTTTGTCAAAAAATACGAGGGTTAAAAGATAAATGAAATCGGCGTTCCATTTCCCTATATCACTGATAACTAAAAACATTTTTCATCTTCTTTTAATCTCGTAGAACAGTAGGAGAATATAGTGTTATGTTTTTCTAGATGGGCCACATAAAAACATTAAGTGTATCGTTGTCTACTTAGGTATCGATTACATCGCACCGTTACCGTTTGTTACCGTGACATACAGAAGAAAATGTAACTTTATATCCATCCCATTAGATTCCAATTAGGTTACGTATGTTAATTAGAAAATAGGTCGCTTTAAGTGTATTACTATTTGACGTTTAGATGTCACATGTACAAACAAATAAATTCCATAGTTATTTATATTTTAGAAGATTTATTCTGTAAGGTTTATTATTCTTACTTAGCCAAAGATATTGCAGTAGCGCAACGAAACTGCGGCACTCAAATTATGCAAATTGTTGTAATTAGATTGCAATTCTATATTCTATACCTTTCCGTAGTATTTGTCATATAATGTAAAGCGGAACAATTTTTAACGCCGCGCGGTATGGACATGAGCCATATTTCTTAAAACATTATTGCTTAGCACGATATTTTAGTAGCAATAAATAGCACAAATAAAAAAATCCAGGCATGAAAGTTTTTTTACAGCTTTTAGGAGACTTCACAAATTTACGTGCCTAAGGGGACATATTTAACAAGTACTATGTCAAAAAAAGAATCGTTTATTCATTGACATAAGATTAAGAAACACAGTTCATCTATCGATAGTATTTTTTTTTCAATCTACCACCGTTTCGTAATGAGGTTCTTCTAACGGAGAAGAAACAGGCGAAAGAAACAAAAAAACAGAAGAAAAAAAAAGAAACAAAAAAACAGCAGTTGCTCTATTTATCAATATTAAATAAGAACTACACACACGCGATGTCTGCAATCGTAATGCAATCGGCAGGGAATGGAGACGGTGACTGCAGGTCTTCATTGATTGTGCTATTTTCGTATTATACGATTCGCTTACAGCCGCCAAAGATATTGCAAGTAAAGTGAATATTGTTGAACCAGACGTATTAAAGGTTTTATTCTTATATAAATCTGACGGCTGAGTTAAGGCTGGGTTTTTTGTCTTCTTGACATCAAAATTTCTGAACTAGCATGATGAATAACAAAATAAATTCTATAATTGGTTTTTTGTTTACAATTATCACTTAAATTTTCCTTCACATATTCTTTAGGGTTGCTAGTACAAAGACCATTATCCATAAGGAGAACAGATTTTATAGTCTTTCAGGTAGTAAAAAAGATGTTAAAATATTTTCACGTCCTACACCGAGTCTTAGCTTCACGTGCATTTTATTATTTTCTTTTGTAAAATAGCATTTATTCTAAACTTAACGATATTTATTATTAACTACGGTTGTATAAGATAACAAATCAAATTTGATCATATTTTTTTAATGTTCATTGAAAAACATTTCAAAACGATTGTATATATTATATTAAAACTGTAATAATTGAAATGTATGGAATACAGTAGTGAAAATTTGTTCTCATACAAATCAATATATTTCTCTCATTTTGTCAGGTTTTTCATAGCGACAGAAGTTAAAAAATACTTGAAATCTAGGTTTGGAATATATATTATTAATTATAGGAATCGGAAATCATCAAAAAATTAAAATTATCTTTCGTTTATCGAGTATATTTTCATAAAGCATCATACAAAAATCTCTAAAAAATTAATCAACGTTAATGCAAAATGCAGGGACGGAACATATCCCATCAAAGTTCCGCCTTTTATTCGTGCCTCTGATGTTACCTAATGAAGATTGGCAGTTCACCGGATCGAACGAACTCGGCTTTATCAATATTGCTCTAGCAAAATTACCCTTATAACTGAGGCCTCTGGTACAATTTGGGTTCTAGTTTGAACAAGCTAAAAGTTTCTAGGCCGAAGCGAAGTCGAGGGAACATTTTCGAATAAGCATATTACGGTATTGAAAGTCTCACCGTTGCCAAGAGAAAATGGAAATCTCATTTGACAGTTACACCTACGTTTATTTTTATTAAATATTTAATTGTTCATCATATTCATCACCTTAAACGAAGCGGATTTGTATAAAGTTATAGTTTCGAGAAGGTTCCAAAAGATTTATCGTAAAAAATCGGAACGTTACATTTACAGCTGGAATGAATTAGCAAATATCAACATTTCGCTTTTCACGGTGCCAGTATTTGAAGCGAAACTCAAAGTTTGGGTCGTCTTGAGAGTAGTTTCGTATCTAACTTGTCATTAGTTCATTACCGTGATTAGTTGCAAGCTACGCGAGGTGAGGGTAGACGGGGTGCAAGGGAGGCAGTTGAGGGTAGATTGGGGCGACGACCCACCTTCCTCGCGACTAACGGGACGCATTAATGTTTCACAGCTGCGAGCGGCGGCATCTTTTATACGTAATTGGGAACTGAAAAAACAATCGCAACGAAAAGGAAAGGTTTTGCCGCCGATTCACTCGCCAGCCCGCGCCCTCTCCCGGCCGAATGTTAAATGAGATGAGAAGGGGTGTTTCGCTGGATCGGCGTACTAACTTCTTCGACTTAAGCTTACCCGGGGCCAATTATACCGCAATTAAAATTAAATATTCATGCTTCTGAAATGACATCGGCGTAAATCTGCGATTACGTGGTTTTGGAGCGTCGTATTATTTTTACTTGGGTAAATAATGACAAAGGATGTTTACACAATTTATTATTTTTGACGAATCTACATCCCGCTGAGATTAATATAATCCATGATTTTAATGTGTTGCGTATGCTATGTGTATGCGTGCTATCCAATGATTCACTGATAGATGTAATGAATATAATGCGAAAATGTATATTATCTGATTTCTTTTTGTTATGAATACGGTTATATCATTTATATTAGTTTGGCCTGTGGTAACAAAATTATTTTGGGTATTTTTTTTATCTATATAATTAATAAGTCTATATACTCAACCATTTGGTCACAATCAAAGTAAGTCAGTCCTTGAATTGTCGTGGATTTAGAGTCCCTTCATTCATTACCTATCAGACATGAGTTTTATAGGATGTATTAAATAGATTTCATTTTTTCGTTTTACTCTATGTCATTTATTTAATTTTCAACTTAACTACTTTTCTTTTATACCGACATAATTATAGCAACGGAGGTAAGGTTTGAACAAAAAAGATTTACGTACACGAATATTTTTCCTTCTTTCATTCTTTTGGATGAGTGAGTAAGATCAAAGGTGACGTGAAAGAAAAGTGACAGTCTAATGTATACGTGTCATACTACTGGCAAAATTTGTACAGTATTGTACAGGGTGGCTTTTCTAAGTGTATCCATTTTTTTAATTAAATCTAGACATAAATAATGTTAAATAAAAAATGATAAATATTTAAAATCACTCGTAGGCAATTAATTACATTCCTTTGAACTTGTCTCAAAAAGTGCGTGATTTATATGCAACTCATTTATTTTACGCGCGATCATTCATAACTAACACGCACACAAGTTCGTGCACAGTAAAATTTAGGTATTTAATGCGGTAGTCATTCATAAATACCTAAATTACAGAACGTGTTGACAATTCAACACGTTCTGTTTCTTAGGGAATTTAATGGTATTTTTTTTTGGAATCAATAAACGATTATCCTACCGAGTCTGAACCTCCTGTGTAAATTTGGGCACTTCTCAAAAAATCTCCCTGTAAAGACAGTCTGTCATGCGATCTCCATGCGGATTGACAGCCTCAACATACGTTATGTGTAGCTATGTCTAGGATTTAAACACCACTCACTTGGTCTAACTTCAGCAATTCCTCCGGCGTGTCTGGCAGTTGTCCAAGCATCAGCGGCGGGTTGATGTTGACTTCCTTGCCCAGCGATCGCACCACTTCTTCGCGGTTGTAACGATCAGCGAAAACGCACGACGCGGGGATCAAACCGTGCACCGTGTAGCTTATGGCCCGAACTAGGATTCTGCAAACACATCTCAGATTCAGATGTAAAAGAATTGTGTAAGATTAATGTAGTTTTTCGCCTTAAGCTGTTGTTCTGCGTTTGTTTTTGTTTTTATGCCAATACTATTTCTATTACTGGCTTATGAATATTTATTTACGATTGTGTTTCCCGCACATTTGCACAGGTCGTCACTCAATCTAGTGGTGGGTCGTCCTACACTGCGATGGCCAGTAGGAGGCTGCCATTCGAGAACCTTTCTTCCTTAACGGTTATCGGTTCTACGAGCTATATGGCAACTTCACATTGCTAATCTTCTCAGTTATCTCTGTGCAAATGTGCAAAGTCATGGATGCAGGTGGATCGTATTTCGTGGCAGTCTATGGGGGAGGCCTATGTTCAGCAGTGGACTTAAACAGGCTGAAATGATGGTGATGATGATGATTGTGTTTGAAAGGAAAGCGCTGAACTTACTACTAGACATCAAAATATTACATTTTTTTTCTTAATTTGAACAAATAATTATCCATGAAAGTTCGTTTACAACAAAGTTTTTGAATTAATACTACATTGTTATTAACTCTATTAGCTCTTTATTTTATATTCGAGAAATGTAACAAGTGAATTAGAAATTCTCTTTTAAAAATCGCTAAATGATGAATCTCAGATTTTACGAGCACTAAAACGGAATTATTTTCCGGAGGGTTAGCGATAGATTAATGGGTATTAAGTTAGCCTAATCGGAATGGTATCTACTAAAGCGTTAAAGGCTCTTCGTTTACGTTTACTCTCAATTTAATAGCGCCGTGTAAAAGGGTTACACAGTTATGTAACAATCTATGTATATACGTTAGCTCGGTTAACAAATGAGGTCGTGTGGAAATAGGCCATGGTCAAATAGTCAAGCCAAGTAGGCCAAGTGCGGATTGCCAATATAGATATTTGACATCACAAACTTACTTTTCTACTCGAATTAACCTTTTCACCATTTTGAAGACCATATTCGGATTCATAGATTGATTGATTAATTCACAATTATTACTATATAAGGATTTTAGTCAATCAAATATCTTTATTCAAATAGACGCTTGCGCGTTCTTATGAATCGTTCGTAAGGTACCGCCGTAATGTATACATTTCATTTAATGTAATAAATAGATCAAGAAGTTTCAAAGGTAAAAAGTAATTAAAATGTTTATACAATGGAAGACGTGGTTTGGACTTCCGTAGCGGTGAAAAATATTTCATCGAAGTTTTCGGTAAACGTAAGATTTTAATTTGGTTAAATAATAAGGTAGAATAAAAAAGGGAAATAACGAAATATTCTTCAATATTTTTATAGTGCTATTATTTTCAATTGATATGAAATTTTTTTTTAACTGTTATAAATGTTTAAGATACGTAAATGCTGAAAGGATAAAGTAGCTTGGTAATTATAAAATTGCTTTCTATAACAGATAAAGGGTGTTGTTTCTGCAATACTATTTATTTGATTTTCCGATGTTCTATGTTGAAATCTAAACAATGTCTATCAATATTCGTACATATACTCGTATTATCGCGTGTGCCACTCTCTTGCATGTTTCTTAGTACTTCAAACGTTACTGCAATAAAATTCGGACTAGTTCAGAACAATCGAGAAGAATTTTCAAATATACTACCTTTCCTTGGCAGTATAAATGCGACATATATATTTATATATTTATTTACTTATTTATGTATATATATGTATATATATATATATATATATATATATATGTGTATTTATGTATTTATATATATTTTATTTTAGTAATGATATCATATTTATAATTATTGCATATACGTGTATTTTAATTGATATATGTACACAATTAACTACCATCTGTAACCAATTTCCAGTCACAGGTCTGCTGGAAGAAATTTCTTATGAAATAAGCAGGGCCTTTGAAATAAATACATCTCTGCCATAATATAAATATACAAATATACTATAACATAAATATAATATTAAAATATACTGGTAAAAAAGATATCCAACGAAAATGGTACCGTAAAAAGGAAATCCATTACCTATAAAAGTAGCAAAGGGTGGATCATTTCAAACTGATATTGGAATGTTCGAATGAATACAAAAACGAATATACGTATTTGCTCTGTATAACCAGACTGAAAATTTTTTGATCGCATCGCGCTTTTAATTAAATTCCCCTATTGTCTCGCGGCATTTCAGTTGTCCTATGACATGGAGTAATGAAAATACCGGTATCCAGAAGGCTCGTCTCAGGAATGTCAGCGCAGACCATTTCTATGCAAAGAGAGACATTTTTATACCAAGTCATTTTATATATGGCGGTTATTTTCATCCTTTGCCGGTTACGGCAAAAAACCACACCCAGTTGCAAAAGTAATATTTATATTACTTATATATATATAATATTTATATTACTTTTGCAACGTATCACTTTTGCCGAATATGAACAATATTTTCATGTCATAATTTAATAACGAAATTATCATCGCTATTGGGTAAGTATCAAATATTGACTTCAGATATAAACCTTGTTAAATTAGCAAAATATGCAATTCAAGGGTCCAAAACGGATGAAGTTCAAAAACTAAAATCCTACTACTGATAAAAGGGCTCTTAAAAGTATGAAACAAGAAAATATTCTCACTTGAAACATTTGTTATGTACGAACTATTTAGTATTTGTTGTCAATTAAGTAAATAACTAAATATAATGTGTAATGTAAATATAATACAAAGTAATATAATAATATGCCGCGTGGATTATTAGATAATACTAGCTGCTGCCCGCGACTAAGTCCGCGTAGAGGGGTGAAAATTTAGGGTTGTATGTATTTTTGTATGTTGTTTCATAAAAAAATAAAAACAAAAAAATTTGCCTAAAAAATAAAAACTAAAATTTAGGGGTGGACTACCCTTAACATTTAGGCGGATGAAAAATAGATGTTGGCCGATTCTCATAGATACCGGATAAGCACAAAAAATTTCATCAAAATCGGTCAAGCCGTTTCGGAGGAGTATGGCAACGAAAACTGTGACACGAGAATTTTATATATTAGATTTAATATTAGATAAATTTAATCTTGTAACTATTAGATAAATAAAACATATTAAAATACAAAGTGTATACCAAATAATACATTCTGATAATAGTAACCGATCATAAGTTTTAATGCTAAGTGGCATACGAGTAAGAAGACCACGGTTATCATCTGAACATCACGATAAACATGTATTAAATATAATATAATGTATTATTTGTTAGTTGTTTATTTAATAGTAATAATAATAATTTTATATTATGTGCACAGTTTAGCAGATAAAACTTAATATAGAATTAAAATTATAATGGCCTTATTATAATCAGGATTATCGAGGTCGGCAGTGACTACAAACGGAAAGACGACAAGGTTCATTGAGAAAGAAAGAGGGTTGATTGAAGAGGCGTTTGTGCAACATCAAACCAATGTTGATTGTGTAAAAATATAAATATGTAATAATCTATAGGTGACTGAAAATTATATTGAAACATACAAATATTCTAAACATTCATACATATATTTGAATGTATTTATATGATGATAATAATAGCGTGAGTTGGTGGCAATAGTTATTTCGTCTTAAAATTGTAATTGAGGAATTCCATATTTTTCGAGGAAAAAATGGTTCCTAAGCCATTTATCATAGTCATACATATTTCGCAACATGTCCCGCCTTTTCGGGTGTGACATCAACATTATTTATTCATTTTCCATTATGTGAACCCATTGTAGGGTTGAAGTGTTTAGGCGCGTTATAAGGTACATTAAAATAAAACACGTAGGCTTTTTTCTTTTAATTCGTTTTTCGCGAGCGGCGTAGAACCTTTCAAGATTCGGCACGGTTTTTTGTTGAGAGTTTTGGTATGCTTCTCGTTGGATTTTTTAATCAACTTTGAGGTAAAGTACCTACAACGATGAAAATTAAAAAAAGTGAATGTTCCTTTTTTAATTTTGAATGGTACAATAATTGGGGAAGATTCGATTGATTTCTGTCACCTGTCGTAATTTTTCGAAGTTGTACTTCTTTTGGCGCGTTTGAAGAAAAGTATGAGGTACAATTTTTGCTATGCGCGCGCACTTTGTCCTACTTCACGGTATTAACATGTCAAAAAAAAGCAATTTTTTGACACTTACCTATAATTCCAACTTATTTAATTAACCACATTTAATTTGCATTTAATGTCCTTTTCAGAAACAAAGAGTTTTACTTTCAGAATAGTCGCATTTGTATCACGCAAAAGCTTGATACAATAATAGCTTTCGTTATTTAGAATATAACAAAAGCTCTCGTAATAAATTCCTCGCAGAAATTATTCCCCACGGATAGAACAGTTCCAGCATTAGGAATTTGCAGACGAGTTATTAATGTAGATACTCAACTGTATATTTATTGTTGGCTCAAGAGCGTACTCCCGATGGACCGACATGGACTTGTCAAAGTTTGCGAGCGCATGTAGTAAATTGGGTCGGAAGATCGCAAATATTTATCAGTAACTACTTCATGTCATACGTGGAATATCACAGATTTGTAGGTATTTTTTAAGTTATTTTTATTTATGGGACGTGACTTTAAAATCATGTTAATGTATATACTATTTATACTGCTATAATTTTTCACTTTCACAATAAACTTCAAATTACTACACAGACGGTATCATAGTTCAACTTGTCACCGTTTCAACTGCCCCGGGATTCATCCCACAATTAATAAAAATAGTAGATGACGATAGATGCTATCCCTAATAGAAAAGAGATAATCTGTTGAGATTTTCGCGCTATGAGGCTGACGACTGCTTAGCTTAGTGGCTTGAGTGTCTGGATGCTTGTTCCGGAATATTTTTTCGACATTTTATGTACTCATTTTAAGTTCAAGGACTATTTTTGTGTAAAATGGACTACATGTTATATTATTTGATTATATCACAAAAGCAATTTAAGGAATTTTAAACCGTGTACATATTCATTTTTGTGATGCAGAAATAAGTAATTCTGCTTTTAAGTTCAGTTTACATGTATGCATAACTAAATATCGTATAACAAACGACCTTTTGGTATTCACAACAGTGATATGTTTTAGAAAAGACGTATGCGGTGGAAACATTCATCCATTTCTTTTCCGGTACTTCTCGCAAAGATCGGCACCGGTTGAACTCAGTCTCTTTTGCGTTACGGCATTTATTTCGCATGTTGCTTACAGTCGTTCGTACCTCTTATATAATGTCAATCCATCTCAATTAGCAGTTACAGAAGTTCATATCAGATGCAGTTTGTGTTCGTCAGTTGTTTATTTAAGCACGATCCCATCGGACCGACTTGGTATGCATCGGGATGTTTGCTAAAGACTTCATTGGATTCGTAAATTCAATTTTGAAATGAATGTATGTGACTAAATTACTAGTTATTTTGATAGATATACAATAATAGGTTTGGCAATGTTGATTAGGCAAGTTTTTAAATTATTTATCCTATATTGAGAATTTCGATGCTTGAAATAATTCATTGAAAATACGGAAAGACTTTTTCTGCCCAAAGTGTTAGATTACTTTTATAGTATTATAACAATTGATGGCAGATATGGAAATGTTATTAAAATTATTCAATCATTGTGTTATTCGATTTCCTCAAAATTGAACAATGAAACGAAAATTGTTTGAGTTGAACTAAAAAAAAAAATTTTCATATGAAAATAAAGTGTCTCACTCAAAAAATAAGACTTAAAATTAAAAAAAATCCCCACTAGTATGCTTAGGACCTTTTAAAAACTATTCCTAGTAAATACTTTATATAGTCATCAACTATTTTTTAGGCATGAATGGCTATATATTTTACTTTACTTATTTTACTTTTATTATTGACTATATTTTTTAAAAGTGATCGAAATCATTGCCACAGTGCAAAGTGTGTAAAATACCACAAGCAAATCTGGCAGAAATAAACACACTATAATGTTTAAGGGGTCAGTGACAATGTAATATTGCACCATAAAACGAATTTATGGCCGCCATTGCATTATGCTAATTGAATTAACATTGTTGAGGTTTTACCGAGAACAGGGAAATAAAGAATATACATTACTATATGGACCATGATAGTATTTCTATATAAAGAGATTTGGACTGAAAGAGAATATTTTAAGAAGAGCTTCCTGTAGTTTGCCTATATGGCTTAGATACGTGGAAACGGGGACGATGAATTAGAAGCAGTGAGAAGAATTTATGGAGAAAAAGTGAGTTGTAAAGTCAATAGAGGATGAAACCAGACTGGATTGGACTTAGCTTAAAGAGGGGTGAATTCAGTCACCCAAACATGGCTACGATCGTTTTAGATTGACTAAATGATTGACTAAAACGATCGTGCTAAAGTATAATTGTCGTGATCTATGTGAATAAAAAGTTAAAAAATATAGCGATGGAAAATGAATGCGATGGAATGTAGATATTAATAAAATAATTTATTTAGAAGTATAAACGCTGACTAACTCATATGTAAAATTTTATGGATATGATTTTTGTTGAGTAATCTAATCTGATAAAAACATGGTGTGATTTTATGAAATCACGATGCAAGTGAAACTGTTGTTCGTAGGCATTTAGCTGTAAATTTTCAGTTAAATACGAATTATTAATTATAAAATAATTAATGATTAAAATTTAAAATAAATGCTACACGGTTAGCTGGTGCAAGCCATGGGCCATGTTGGCCTTGGCTGCTCTGTCGAGCGCCTTTCACTTTACCCGTACTCCGCGGCCTGCTGTAATGCGACATGCGATAGATGGCCGAAAAAAATTGAGGCGATGGAAAAAAGTTTCAATTTAAAAAGGTTTTTAACTATAATTGCATAAGACACATAATATGAACATATTACCCCTCAAAGTATCAACAACTTGATAGCCAGTGACGAGATCTAAGAGAGATGTAAGATCGGTTTCAGGTTAGGCCTTAATAGGGTGGTTAAGTTTTTCGCAATTATGATTAGCTTTACGGTTGATCGTTGAACAATGTTTCTTTCATACAAATTCACGATAAAATTTTGCCAAAGCTGAATAAAATATATACTTTCGAAATAAATATCATATTCATAGTAAAGGTGTCGTGGAATCATATAATTTACACAATGCGAAATCAAATTTTTTGCCGAATAAACTGGTAATTAGTGTAGTTTGTTTTGAATTGAAAATTGAATCCATTTTCTAGCAAGATAAAATCCATTAATATATTGTAACACATTGTAAATATGACACTTATAACAAGTTATTGTTATACTTGCCATATTTTTATTAGAGCTTCGTTGGGTGTTATTCTTAAAATAATGGCATAACTGAAACACACCACAAAAAATGGGGAAATATACATAGTAAACTATGTATAAAACCTAACCTATGTATAGAATTTTATAGTATATATGAAAATATTTCTTTAAATAGAACTGTAATAGTAGATAGTGTGCACTCTTAAACAGTAATCTTATCCACTCTTGTCTTGAAGACGCATAGTAATGGGATGGATAGAGTGACGGCGACAAATTGTTCCACTTCGTTGCGGTTCGTATTACGAACGATGGGCACACCTTTACGTACCAACACGGCGAGTTTCAACGAAAAAAGGATCGATTCTTACTCGGCTTCAAGTTACTGGATGGTGAAAGGGGGAGAGAGACATTTATTTTTTTTTAATTCCTGCGTAAAAGCAATCCTTACTAATATTACAAACGTGAAAGTTTGTATGATGTATGAATGAATGAACTTTTACAATAATATAGCTTATACATCAGAATAACGCATAGGATATAATTTATAAAGATACAAGGATCTCTCAAAGTAACTCGGTCGGTCTGTTACGCTTTCACGATTAAACCAATTTTAATGAATTATGGTATAAAGATAGATGGACCTTGGAGAAGAAAATAAGCTACTCGAAGTACTCTAATCCTGTGCAGACGAAGTCGCAGCCACCAGCTAGTATCAACATAAATCTATAATGTAGAACAACGAGACACTAGCTTACAAGCCTGTGATTGACATCGAGCAGAATGAACCTAACTATGTCTGGGTAACCAGTTTTTCGTCTCTTAAGACTGTGTCCAGTTCAGTCAAGTTTATGTAATAATTATGTTCTGTGATATTTATCGTCGACTAATTTACTCACTTTCTTTTCACCATTCCTTCTTTATCCCCTTCCTTTAATGTATTTTACTTACCCACCCAAGCATTTCCATACAAACTTTTCATAAAACACTGTTTCAGTGAAAATTGAGTTCCCGAGTTAACAATGTTTGACAGAACAAACGGCTAATTATTATAAATTTTAAGTTCATTGAAATAAACCAAGCTAAAGATTTGTTTACCTGAACTGGTCGCGCGAGTTTAGAGTCTCCTGCTTTATGGATAATATCACAGGGCCAAGGTCCTCATCGTTGGTGAAGTAGTTCCAATGTTCGGTACCATAGAAGTACTTTTCATATGTCTCCTGCTCCACGGAGGTGAGTTCGAAGCCACCCGACCTCTCCCACTGCTCTTCGATCGCACTTTTCTTTTTCGGTGTGCTGCCGCCATTATCACTGCTGTCTTCGGCCGCTTCGTCCAAAGATCCGGATCTTCTGCGCCGATCTGTAACGAGGTGATTGTTTAAACAGGAATCATCATAATCACTTTGAAAAGAATCGTTTTCAATAATTCACTTACACATTAAAATGTAGTGCGTAATGTGCACAATGAAGGAGCTGCTATTTATAGTTAGTTGTTAGAGAAAATAAAGTTTTTGTTAGGTCTGAAATGAAACCAATTTACTTAAGTGAAACAGAAGCTGGGTGTGGAAAAAACATAAAAATCTTTGAGCTGTTACTTCATCTGATTTTTTTACTACAATAAGTAATGATTGACGTTCATTCATTTCAACAAAAATATAAAATGTTGCATTGTATTACATTTTTTTATACAGTCATGTTGTGGAGTATATTGATGAGATACCATTATTTATATAACTTATGTAATCCATTATGTATATAGATGTAATGAGGAAGCTCAAAGTCGCTCAGCGAGCTATGGAGCGCAGCCCGCTTGGTATTTCTTTGCGTGTGATATTGTTCGTAACGAAGACATCCGCAGTAGAACGAAGGTCACCGACATAGCTCAGAGGATTAGCAAGCTGAAGTGGCGATGGGGTCGGCCCATCGCCACTTCAGCTTGCTAATCCTAGGACTAACATAGGACTTAGAAACGATAATCGTTGGGGAAGAAAGGTTCTCTATTAGCAGCCTCGTACTGGCCATCACAGTGGAGGATGACCCCCAACTAGGGAGTGACGATCTGTGCAAATTGCGAGGAAATCGATGGATCCAGGTGGCTCAGGATCGTGCTTCATGGCAGTCGGGGAGACCTATGTTCAACAGTCAAAAAGCAGTGGACCAAACAGGCTGAAATTGTGATGATGATGGTGATGAAACGAGACAACGAAACTATATTATGTTAAGGCCAATCAGAGCTTAAAAGCAATAGTTATACCATCGGTATAAATTCAGTGTACGGTTTACGCTTCTCTCTATCGGATCGCTTTGTGTTACTGTGATCTAGTGAATGCGACTGTCGCTCCCTTTGACACCATATAGAGTCGATGTTCATCAACTTCAAAGGCCGTGCATTTTAATACATTTACTGGGCCAAATTCCATTGGATGCGAGCATTCCGCGTCCCTCGTTTTCCAATTTATGTAACGAAGTTTCCAAAATGCAATGTATGGTTGAATCGAGAAAAGCCACAAGCAATATTTTATAATGATAGTTTTCTACGAGCAGATATTGAGAGCAACGTGCCTGATCCCATAGTAGTGACTAAAAATATCCGTAAGTGATATATAAATGAACTATTTATATATCACTTACGGATATTTTTAGTGTGAAAATGCATATATTTGGTGGTAAGTACCAGATTCAGTAATATGTTTTTGTATATTAAAAATATTTTCAATAATTTCGGCAAATGCAGGAAACGCGTACAGCGCAAAAAAATAATTTAGAAACTAATATCAATACAATTTTTCAGATAATTGTCATTTACAGTTGTTATCTTGGAATATTATAGCTATTGTAACATAATAATTAATTATGAAAAAATTTAACTGTGAAAACATTAACATCAAATTAGTAATTGAATAATCCGTAGTATACCAATCTTTCAGAAAGAACATATATTAACTTCACTTTGAGATGAAATAAAAAAAAAGTATTGAGCGTAGGTATTATTACTCAACACACGAGCATTTTGAGATTGAAACTTTTCTCATTTTCTTATGTTACAGAAATAAGTAATAAGGTGAAAAAGAAACTGAAAAATAATAGGATTTTTCAAATCCCTTTTATCTCTGGAGTGAAAAAATTGTGTTCATTATTTTTAATTTACATCAAACTGATTCGTTATTTAAGCACTTAACCTCAATTCATTTTCGCATAAGGGCTTGTAGAGTCTGAATATTATAATCTGAATACAGTACAGCTATGTATATATATCAGAATGTTGTGATTGCATAATAACTGCACACTGAGTTTACAATTCAGTTCTATGAAACCTAACGGTGACGGATAAGGACACGATATATATTGTCATAGAGATCACTATAATTAGCTATTAACATGATGTTCGTAAATCTTTAGGAAATGTAGCTTTGTTCAATTATGGAAAATTATAACCGTATAGTCTAAGTTGTTTTGATATCGGTTTGATGATGAAGTATGGTAAAGTCACTTTTAAGTCTTTGAAGCACTCTTCATCCTTTCTCAGCTCTTATAAGTCGGTGCGAAACTATACGGTGTAATAAAGAAATTATTAGAGTGAGAGCGCGTCAATCGATATATTTTGTCTTAAATTTTTACCTTCTTCTTCAACTTCTTGTAGGTGAAAATCACTGTTTTTTATATATTTGATTAAAACAGCGTGATCATAAATTTGAGATCAATACATCACATGTATGTACACCTGTTTGCCTTCAGCGAATTCAAGATAGATTCAAATTTCAAAGCACTGTATCGATATAGTCGTGTTCGGTGTCTTCTAGATCTGAGCAAACACGAATACACGCCGTTACTGAAGATCGTTTCGTAAGCTGAATACAAGTCTATACAATGTTGTAGTTATATATCACACTATTCACCAAACGTTTACAATGAGGTAGAGTTAGTTACGAAAATACGATATATCTGAAATCAAATTCAAGCCAAGGTATATGGCATTAAAGAATTGTACTACGAGAATAGCATTAGAATAGTATTCATTTGAAGTAAGTGGTGCCACAGGGGCCTTTAAAGGTGATTTGTTTGCAGATGAACTGTCGAAAAATTTTTGCCACTGCCGGGATCTGAACCTTCGTCTTCTAACGCGCCTAGATGCTCTAACTAGAAAAGTTAAGGAAACGCGCCGTGGAACATTGGCCGTTCCACGGTGTGAAAACTTCGATTTTAACTTCTTTATTACATTTTTAGCAGTGATCAGTGCCATACTTTAGTATTATTTTATTGTAATTTCTAGATTTCAACTGATTAGCTAAAGAGTTAGCTATAAGAGTGCCATCACAATGGCTAAAATGTAAAAAAATTATTAACAAAAAAGTAAAATTAATCTTATCAAGTTTCATGGACTTAAAAACGCCGTACATCGTGAAAATTTTTGGATTTTTTAGCAGTGAAAATTCTTGTTAAAATAAGCAGTACAATATTAACAATATTAATAATAATTTAATTACACCGCAATTATAAGTAAGTTTTCTTATTTATTTTTTTAAATAAATTGATACAATAGAAACCATCTTAAATGTTAAAAGTACATGAGTAGATTCACATATGTGACTTTGTATTTACTAATTATTAGACTAAATAATAGTACACATTACATGCAGTGCCTATATCCGATTTGAAACACGTAAATCCATTGAGCTTGATATGTCATACATATCGTAGATAGTAGCATTTCTCTTTGATGTATTCCATCCATCCAGTGCATCAAAGACGATGCTTTCCAATAAATCTTATTGGCAGCTAGAATATGCTTTCTCTGAAAGATGCTGTAAGCTCCTTTGATATCGCGTTGGAACAGTTGCTAAGAGACTAGACTTGCCTTGTCTTGCTAAAATAATGTGTTTAAAATTGTCATGTTGTACGTTATATAAAAATTACTAAAGTACTAAAATATATGTTAATTTAATTATTTAAATTATTAAACGGCTAAACTCATGTCCAATCGGTGTAAATACCGACTAATTCAAGTCTATCGGAAGTCTTTTTAATCAATATGTAGTTAATTAAATCTGACTGCAGCTCCGTAACTATTTATAGCCTAATAGTCCTACATACGAGCGTCATATAATTTGCAACAATATTTTTCACACTTTAAGAACTTATTGGATGCGCACATAGATGGTGTGGGAAACGGGATGCGGGTGGTAGAAAAGCTAGTCTTCCTGCTCTTCTCAAACTAGGTATGTTCACAGGGGATGAGGATATTGGTATTGGGTTGGCTACTCTCTTTTACCTCCCCGCGGTACCACCACGCTAGAGTTAAGGTCGCAGGAGAGTTAGTATTCACACACCGTTCTCCCCATCTTTTGCGACAGAGTGGATCGGCAGACCCTGTCAGCGGCCAGATGCCGGGTAGGCTTGGTGTTTATCGTCACTTGTTACTGGATCGCGGATTTGGGCGATTCCGTTGATATGAGAAAGGTACTTCGACATGAATCTTATCTAAAACACTAGCACGCCTTATGTGGAGATAAGTTATTTAGCTCAGTGGCTAAAACGTTGGGCGCGTATCCCGGAGGACTCAGGTACTGGCAGCGGCGAAAAATTTTTCGTCTATTTTTCTACAAATTTTAAATTTTATCTTAAGTGCGTCTCAGCACTTGTAGTATAAAAATTAAAATGATTCAAAAAGTTTTATTATATTATGTATCTATTTATTGTTTATTATTAAAGGTTTGCTTTCTGTAAACTCCTAAACTCTGTTTAGGGTTAAGCTCGCCTTTGTACATTCCTGTTTTTAATCCTTCATTTATTACAGGTAATGTGCAAAGCCTAACTTTTAACAGGTTTAAGAAATTTATTAAAGAAAAACTTTTTTAAAAGGGTTATTATAATATAAATGAATACATTGACGATAATAACCCCTGGGAATGAGACTATAGCTCTTAAGCTGTTTCAAAAAAAATTATGTACTGTATAACAATGTAATTGATTGAAAAAAAGATGACAAAAAGAGGATACCTACGGAGTTTCTTTCGCTTGTTTCTTCTCCGTTAGAAGAACCTCTGGAGGTAATAGATTTAAAAAAATGAATATCGATAGATGAAATTTATATTTCTTTTTTTCTATGAATAAATGATTTGATTTGATAACTGTATTTTTTATGTAGAGTAAAAAATAAAGAATTACAATGTTAGTAAAAGAGGTTTTGTATAAAAAACATTTGTAAAATAACAAGAGCACTATGGTAGAGCCTGGCAACAGCTTCTGTTGTTGTATAATTAGGCAGTTTCCAAGGGAAGTACAATGGGCTCAGAAGACCGGCGTGGAATGGAAGTATTACACTTCCCAAGGGCGGTAATCACTTCGTCTCCAAACATCAGG